GGGGGAGGATCACCTCCCTGGACCTGCTCGAGATGCATCTGTGGATGCAGAACAAGGTGCGGTTGGCCTTCCTGACTGCCTCCCCACACTGCCAGCCTACGTTCATCTTGGAGTCAATGATGACTCCAAGATCCTTTTCTGCCTCTGTGCTGACAAGAGGGGAGCCCCCTAGCCTGTAGGGATGGTGCCGGTTGTTCCTCCCCAGGTGCATCACTTTGCATTTGTCCGTGTTGAATCCCATCCTGTTCTCATCCACCCACCCCTGTAACCTGTCTAGGTCTGATTGTAGCCTGTTGCTTCCTTCTAGTGTGCCCACATCCCCCCACATCTTAGTGTCGTCAGCAAATTTGAACAGGTGCTTTTTACCCCCTCGTCCAAGTCACTGATGAAGATGTTGAACAGCGCGGGCCCGAGGACCGGGCCCTGGGGGACCCCACTGCCCACGTCCTTCCAGGTTGAAAGTGACCCGTCCACCACCGCTCTCTGGGTGCGGCCCTCCAGCCGGTTGGTGACACATCTGACTGAGTGGGTGTCGACACCACAGCCCCCAGTTTCTTAATGAGAACGGGGTGAGAGACAGTGTCAAAGGCCCTCCGAAAGTCCAGGAAGACGATGTTCTCTGCTACCCCTGCATCTAAGGATTTGGTGACCTGGTCGTAGAAGGCCACCAGGTTGGTCTGACAGGACCTGCCTCGAATGAACCCGTGTTGGTTGCTGGGTTGCCACCTGAGATGCCACATCCTCTCTGGGTAGCATCTTCCAATGCATTACTACCCAGCTAGTGACAGGTTTTAGTAGATTAGCAGTGGACCAGAGTAGCACTAGAACCTGTAGAAGTTTTCGATTACCTAAAATTAGGGAGCAGTGAGCAACTTCTCCATTGTTATAGTTGCAGTACAGTTCCTGCTTGAAGCATAAGGTTTTCAGTCTTTTCTCAGGCCCGTTCCATCAAACAAAGGCTTCTTCACCTCCTATTTCACACACAAAGCTCATTGCGGCTACCTTTTTCTAGAAAAACCTGGGCCAATAGCCAAAGTAGCTTCAGAGGGATTTTAAAATGTCTCTGTAACCCACTACTCATCCATGTTCTTTACTGCACATCCTTTGTGTGACAGAGATGCACCTTTTAGCAGGTAGGAAGCACCTTTCTGTAGCTGAATGGCATTTTGGCAGACAAGGTTCTTTGGGTAAAGGTGATATATTAGACCAACTCACATAGTTGGTCTAATAAAAGATATCACCTTTGCCCAAAGAACCTTGTCTGCCTGTGTCTTTGGACCAACACAGCTATAACCTGCGCCCTTGTGAATGACATTTAAGCAGTTAAACAACTGTTAGGGGGCTGTGCATTTAAATAATCCCTATGCATCCATTTGCATGTTTGCAAAGTGCACGTGGCCTTAAGGTGGGAAGCAAGCGGCAAAGAATTGAACAGATGTCATGTCTCTTTAGAGGCGCAGGAGCAGACAAGCCACCTCAGGAGCAGGGCAAAGGTTTCCCAGAAGGAGAAAAGAAAGTGGGGATCTAGGAGGCTGCCTGGGAAGGAAGTTGGTTCATCTCTGGGCAGCTCGCAAGAATGGTGATCACTTTTGTCTCTGAACAGTTGGTAACCGCTTTCAGAAATCCCAGGAAATGCTCTGGAGAGGAAAGAAAATGTGTTAACCTGGAATCGTGGCTGTGTCGGGTTATCTGAAATAAACCAAAGCTCACATGCTGCATAGCTTCTTCTGAAACAGAAATGTTAAAATGCTTAGAAATTAAATTCCTGTTCCACTTCCAATCTCTCTCAGCTCACCATCCAAAAAAACCCCCACATACCACTGATACCCTGAAAGAGTTCAGATTCCTGTGCAATTCAAACCACCTTATCTCTGTCCCTGAAGTCCTGACCTAAAAACCTAAAATCTCTGGGAGCACTTATATAATTCATATACAATACATGCATTTCTCTCACAAAGGTTTTAAGTCTGAAATAAGTGAGAGGTGTTGTTTGAACTCAAGGAAAACACCCACTTCTTTGCCAAGGGCTTTATTAAACCAGCGCTAAAATGAAAGATAAGTGGCTATGGAACCGTGAGACATTAATTGCATTTCCTGTGAATTTATCAGATGATTTGGTAAAAGATATTTTTTGTCTTTGAAGCTCTGCTGCTGATGCTCTAAAATGAGTTATGCCCTTTTTTGGAAACGAGAATTAGCCAATTCAATTTGTAACCATGCCGCTTGCTGAAAACAGAGTTTACTCGCTATAAGACCACTTCTGTGCTCCTTCCTCCTTTTCCTCAAGCCAAATTCCAGCAAATCTCAGACTCCTCCACAGGGGTGGGCATGGGACAAGCGCCTTGCGGTGCGCTTGAATACGTCTCCCATCTCACTGGAGACTTCAGGCCACGGGAGTGCAGCCCCAATGCACCTTTCGTCCCTGGAAAGAGGTCTACCTAAGGAGGGTTGTGATGTGCTGGTAGAAGTGACCAGAGTTGGGGGAGATTGTCCATTCTGCATCGCTCTGTTGATTAAATAGAGGACTGCAGCCCCAGTCCAGTTTCTTTTACAAACACTTCCTTTGAAGTTTTATGTAAAGCCGTAAGTATATTTAAAATTGTATGGTCATGAGACTTTGCCCCTCCATAGACAAGACATGGTGGGTCTCTTTCTCCTTCTGGCATCTGGTGTCCCGTTTGTCCATCCCTCAAGTGCTCGGCAGTAGAGAATCAGGCACAGCCTGCTGCCCAGTTGTTTCTCTGCAAACGGCTGTGTTTTAAAGCTATTTCAAAGTTGAGGATGTTCAGAAAAGGGGCGAAAGAAGACAGAGCAAGCCAGGCTTCAGGATCTCGTTTTCACGCATGAGGAGCTGATTGGGAGATTCTTAACGAGCAAAGAGAAGAGCACATCATGTCTCCTGGAGTCAGATCAGAATCAGCTGATGTGCGCCTCTCTCCATCTGTGGGAGAAGCATGTGACTCAACCCATCAAAATGCATTTACTGCTTCCTCCTCCTCCAGCATTGCTAACGAGCAGAGCTCCGTCTTTGAGGCTGGTCTTTTAAGAGTAAGAAAAGAAGTATTTGATCCCACACCAAATGTGTAGGGACTTTCATTATGGAGCAGAAGGAAGTTGCATGTCATGCCAATCTGCTATGCTTGGTCTTTTCTCGGGCAGAGCTCAATGCCTGGGGGATGGCGGGTTCTCTTAACTGTGGTCTCCGTAAAGGCTCTGAAATGTGACCTGCGAGGAGAAACAACCTTCTGATGGTGGCCGTCTCACTTGTGAATTAGGACAGCGGCCAAGAGCAGCTTTATTAGTGCAACATCCTGTTTTGTAGATGCCATATTCCTCTGAGGTCTTTCTGCTGATTAAGCTTGAGTGGGTGGTGGTGAATTTTGAACTCATCTGGTTTAAGCAGTACAAGCTGAGCCCCTTCCCCCCAGACTGTATTTCAGCCTTATCCTGTTATATATCTATCAGGTTCAGCATCCGTTCATTTTTCAGGTATCCAAGTTGCAGCTGTATTGGTCCTTTCATTTTTCACTCACTTGTCTCGCATTTTGCTCCAGCGTTGTTGAAACACAAAGCAACTCTTCTGGTTTTCACGTTAGGAAATAATTGCAAATTATACCGTTTGGGTACATGTCTTTCTCCACCCACAGAAATAAATGATACCAGCAAACCTGCTTCACTCCCTTCAGTCTCTCTCTCCTTCACTATATCTCCCCCCGTGCATCTGCATATCTTTCCCTCCCCCATGTCTAAAAGTACCACTACCCTTCAGGGTACACATTGGGAATATATATTTTTTTTCTTCATTACGTTTAAAAGCTACTTCTTTAGCAAAAACAGCTTTTGAGCCGTTGGAACACAAGAACAGCTGTAGCACCGAGATGAGAAATGGTCCTAATATAGAGATATTTTGGGGGCTGCATCGCTGAGTTGGAAATGCCATCCGTAGAATCTCCCCCTAGTGCTAACCCATAGAAATAGATTGGAATGACTTCTTGGATTCTTTATTATTTTTAATGTCTTGTTGTGTTTTATCCAAAAGAAGTTGGGAGAACGTGTTTGTTTCTGAATTTAGCAGCTAATACCCTCCCGTACCCTTTGTGCAGGTTGGCATACAGAAGGCTGGATAGACAATAGTAGGGAAGACCGTACATCTTCGTGGCATGCAAGGAGGGTCTGCCCAATGACTAATACCCTCGTTCTTTTTTTTTTCCCCTTTCCCAGCTCGGGGATTGGATCACATCGCCGAGAACATCCTGTCGTACCTGGATGCCAAGTCGTTATGTGCCGCCGAGCTGGTGTGTAAGGAGTGGTACCGAGTGACATCCGACGGCATGCTGTGGAAGAAGCTTATCGAGCGAATGGTCAGGACGGACTCGCTATGGAGGGGGTTGGCGGAGAGGAGAGGATGGTGAGGGACCTGCCGCTGCAGCTCTTCCTTACCCATCTAGGACAGCAGGCGCTGTGTCTTTAGTGCCGCGTTCGGACTCGGTCACTAGCACCCTGAAGTGTAACACTGGCTTCCAGTCTGCCGTTTGGTTACAGAAAACTCAAAGGTTGGGGAGAATGGGCTTTTGTGGGGGGGACTCTGCAACCCATTTTGGCCATTTTCCCCTTCCCCATTTTGTTGGCACTGCACCGTGGCAGCGATAAGCAGGGTAGACTCCGGGTGCCCAGCCTTCATCCCTTTTTTGTATTAAGCTTCTGTCTCTGCCTAAGAGGAGCACTAAACAAGTCAGCAGTTCAGAGCAGAAAAGCATTTTTCAGGGTGGGCGCTGGGACGCTTGTGGCGTGAATTAGTATTTCCTGATAGGTCTGTTTGTTTTCCTCAGCACATTTTCGCTATTAGATATCCATTTAATTCTCAAACTGGAAGCCGAGGGTAGGTACCGCGGAGGATAGGGGACTTTGGAAATGCAGATAGATTAGTTAATAATCAGCTGGAATAGCCTTAGCCGAATGTGGGTCTTGCTCAAGTTTGAAACTGCTCTGCTAACATTTCATTAGAACTTTCCCTCTCTGGGGTAAGCCCTTTAATACATAATTTTCTTTTCCAAGGGTGTCCCTAGGATGTTGGCAGCAAGAAAGCTGGGTATGAATATTTCATAAACAAGATAAAAGTGACAGCTCAGGCATTTTAGTTGCTATTAAAAAGAAAAAGATACAAAGTTGCAAGCCGAAGCTCTTATGCATTTTGAAGTTAATTTTGTTATATTGTTTGCCTCCGATTATAAAGATGAGTAAATCATGCTTATGAAATGTCCTTTAGAAACAAACATTATGTAGATCTGCTTCCAGTCACGTTGTAGCGATCGGGAGCGCAGCCCTCGCCCCCGCGGCTGTTAGCTGCAAACGCCGGAGGGAGACTCTGGAGAAGTCCTGCTTCCGTCTCCAGATCTATATTGCTGCCTCCACTGCTGGTCACATCGATAGTGGATGTGTCCAAAAGTCAATTATAAAATCCAGCTTTTTATCCTGAAGCCCAGCCAGCCACACTCATACTGCTTCCCCGAGGTGGTATGGTTACCTGGATGTTGTTTAACTCGGCTTCTGGAGTGATGGAGATCCCAAGGCGCGGACTCCCATCGAGAATACCCTCTGACTGGCTGCGAAGGGCTCTCCCCAGGCACAGTGGAGTGATGGAGAAAGGCTAGCAAGCAATATCCAATTTAATTGGGTCTCTGTCATATAGAGCTTTATAGCTTGTAATCAGTGCTATGAATGGCACAGGGAAGTGAATAGGTGGACAGTTCAGAATGATAGATGACTGGTGTTATTTGCTCATAGCTTCTCACTTAGCTTCAGTGCATGGGCCGCTGGATTTCTGCACTTGCTTCCTGGTGCCTGTTGCAGGAGAACCCAAACCCTGCCCCACAGACTTCGACCGCAGTGACAGCTTGCTAGGAAGCAACACAGCCATATGGATTGGCCCGTGTTTTTATAGAAAAGCATATTATTTATTTTTCAAAAAAAAAACTCAGGCACAGTTCATGTCTGTCCAGATAGCTGAACACAGTATGCTGCCCGAGTCTGCCAGTCATCACCACCTGCAGGTGACAGAGTGCCTGTTATCCTCAGCTCATAATACAGAACTCACCTGGGAGACTGGAAAGACCAAGCAATTCTTTGGCTAATCCACAAACAATTAATTCCACGCGAAGGCCGTCATAGGGGTGACTGTCACCTTCCAGATCATGATGCAGGCTTTCTCCCCACCCTAGAGCACTTGCACTTCACAGGAGCTTCCAGTATCCCCTAGTAAGTCTATGAAGCATCAGTTTTCTGATACGTTGCTCTCCTGAATGCCGTGCCAGCATCAGCCTGCTGTGAATGGGACCCACGAGCACAACTACCTACTTGCACACATGTGCACATTCAAGGGCTTGAGAGC